GAAATGACCATTTTTCCAGTAGCTTCTATCTTGAACTCGCGTGTTATTCGCTGGGCGAGGAAGAATAAGAGTGCCGGGCGAGACTTCCTCTCATCAAGCGTAGATAGATATTTTTGCTAATTGAGTCCCATTTCATATTGTGGCATGTGAGTAAATAAGGCTCTCGCCGAGTAAAGCTTTTGAGCATCAGGCGAGAGCGCCTGAACCAAATTTTATAAATAGATTTTCAATTCATTTGTTAGGTCTTGGAGTTTTGGGGGTATTAGTTCCCAACTTCATCCGCTTCACTCTTTGATAGTTTAGAGCTTAGAACAACAATGGAGCTTGCATCTGGATAATCCGGGGTCGAATTTCTCATTGATTAGCGCTGACAAAGCGAAAGATGTTTGATTCATGTTCTCTTCTTGTCTCTGTATTCTTTATTTGTTGGAGTTTGTATGTAATTTTACCTTGATTATATGTATATTCATTGCTCATGGTGTTGTATGAAACTCTTTTTACAAATTAATGTTGATGATTACTTTCTTTATTTGGGTTTGAGTTTTTGCAGACATAGACGGGTTATATCTGGATTTAGGATGAACATTTATTGGGTTTTAATTCTAGAGATAGATTAAGGCTTAATATTCATGTGGATATCAGAGCTTAATTCTTCCGTGTTGTTTGTGTTGCGCTGAGAGATCACCAACGTGAGTAATACGGTCGTTATCTCACTCTATGTGATAACCTCTGCGTGAGAGATATGCAATAATATTGACGAGTTATTTAGGTTGAGTACAACTGGGTAGTAAGTTTAAGTATTTGATAGGATAGATGAAATTCAAACCCGAGAGTTCTCTACTCCCCAAAGAATGAATTATTTTTCTTTTCATAACTTTTAATTCCCGCATTTACTTTAAACCCATTTTAATCCTAACTCATACACGCGGGACTTATCGAACGGAAATTCAGTAGCACTAACATATGGAGACTATATGATAAAACTAAATGCTTACTTACTTTTGCTTTCCGTTTTACCGCTTCAGCAGTTACTCTACTGAGAGGAGTACTTTTAGTGATGTTAACTTCAAGACCAAAATTAGTGATGTGTTCATTGAGAAAGGTATTAATATTCAACCAGATGTTGGAACATCATCACAACAGTTTGATACTTCAGGCATTGTGGACGAATCTAAAGGGATGGCAGAAACTGAATAAGAAAGCTCTCAAGAAAATAACATTTTGTTTAAAAAGGGAGTTCATTATTTGAAGTTTATTTTGGTCTATGATCATCAGTTGTTTCAGAGATGAAATATATAATGATGGTGAGTCTTGGAGTAAAAAGCTATTGGCCAAGTCTGAAGAAGATTGTATTATTGGAGGATATTCTGGTCACTTGGATTAGAATTTATTTAATCTTTGTATATCTTTAAGATTAGGTACATTGCTGAAGGAAGATGTATTTTCAATTGGGTTGATTACTAAAAGAGTATAATGTCAAATTTAATGTCATGACATTGTAGTGTGACATGCTACTGCAATCAAGGTACAAGGATTTTATTCTGCATGCAAAACAAAGTCATTGGTTGTGTCGTCATTGTGTCAGGGATCTTGCTACAGGCTTATATTGACACTCCTAAGCTTGGTATGGTTAAGAAGCTTTAGGAATTATTTTCTCATAACTTGAGGTGCAAGTTACATTAAGAATATGAGGGGTAATTATTGAATTGCACACCTAAATAATTATGAGGTGTAATCTCAGAAGAATCACTTTCAATGTCATGGAGAATGTCATTTCAAATGTTGTAACATTTTCTAGCAGTCAAAGCTTGGAAAGAGAGAAACATTTTCCAGCAGTCAAAACATTTTCTGTCACTAAGGATGATTTTATCTTCTTCCAAAAACGCTTTCATTGACTAACTGTTGTTACAAGAAAGGTGTCTTTACAAACTAGGTAACTCTCCTTGTATTTAAAGGCCTCACTACCTTACCATCCTCACAAGTTACATTTCAACATGAGCAAAACTTCCAAAATTGTTGATGCAAAGAAGTCTCTTATGCTGGAAACCAAGAAGGAAGTGGGTTCTGGTTCAAAGAAATTAGTGTCTAACACTAAAAAATGTTGGAGCATCTATTGGAACATCCAGAGCAAGGAAAACATTTGCAACAAATATGATGTCACTCAAGAAAAATCATGATTAAATACTTGATTCAGACTCAGAGCTGATAAAGATTGGGTCAATTGCATTGACTCGTGATGTAGAGTTGGATAACTATTGTCTTCTATCTGTTATATATAAAAAAATAGAAAATTAAAAAAAAGGTGTTTCTTTAGTCTTTTTTTTTCCGTTTTGTTTATGTTCTTTAGTTGAGTTTGTTTAAGTCCTTGTTACGTCATTTTTATTAACCCTTAGTTTTGTCTCTTTGGGTGAGTCCTAGTTTTTTTTGTCTCTTTGGGTGATTTTGTTTTTTATTTATATTTCCTTTTGTTGTTTCTTTTGATTCAGTTTGGTTATATTAGTCATGCATCAAGTCATAGAGTCAAATTTCTTTTGTTTCTCTTGAATCAATTCTTGCTTCTGTTGATTCTTTTTGTGTGTCAGTTTCTTTCTACTCAGTTTTTGTAAATTTTTGGCTAAAAAGGGGGCATGATTGTCTATCATGTGAGTCTTGAGTCAAGTTGTCTTGTTTCTGCTTCTGCTGCTACTTCTATTGTGGTTGTTTGCAGGATATCCTATAGGATGTTCTAACATCCTGTCTTTTGTGTCTTTTTTTTTGTTTGAGTCCTGTATCTTGTGTCTTATGTTCTCAGTTATGAGTATTGTTGTGTCTTGTGCTCTGAGTTATGTGTGTTGCTTCTGTTGCATGGTCTTCTAATATCCTGAGTCCACGTTGGTTTTCTGGAGCTTTAGGTTGGTTTTCTTGTGCTTCTTGAGGGGGAGATTTATCTCCCTGTGACAAGAAGTGGTTCTAAGTTTTAGGTGGAGTAACTTGGATGGTTCTGAAGATGCATGTCATCTTCTTTCTCATGTATAAAGTTTACATGTTTAACATGTAGCTTGTGTTTGTGTAACTGTTGTATCTTTGATACAAGTTTTTGTGCAGTTTGATTTGTGGTTTTATTCCTATATGGTTTTATTCCTTTGTATTGTTATTCCTCTCTCTAGTTTAATTGGGCATTGGTTATTTTAGCCAAAATTTATCAAAGGGGGAGATTGTTAGTTCCATGGTTTTATGTTTGGCTAAATTTTGGTAAAACTTGGTTATATACTGATGTTGATCAAGATGTTGCAGCATTCTTATCAACTATCATAATAATTTTGTTGTTATGTGTTTTTCAACCAGATGTCATGACATCTTGGTCTATTACAGCAAGCGCCATTGTTTTAAATCTTGACATATTTAATTGGATTTTGTGATATTCTTTTTGGATATGTCTCTCTAAATTTTGCATCTCAAGAAGTTTTAATCTAGAACAAGTTTTATATCTCCAGCTGTACATAAGTTACTAAATTGGGCCTTGACACATTTTAGGAAACTTAGTATTGTTTTTTCCAATATTTAAGGATATTTTGTTGCACAATGGTGCATCACTCAACTTATGGATCAAGAAATATCTGGATGAATATTTCGAAGCACATGGACTGCAGATGTGAATTTAAAGGAGAAACCTAAACCTAAACCTTGTGTGGGTGTAAGTCGCTCTTATATCTATTGATACTTGTGGTAGACGTAATGTTCTCACTCATAAGCCTTTAGGTAATGAGTTGAGTATTGTTCTTGGTTGAAGATTTTAAGCAAAACTAAGTATTGTTCTTAGGTAAAAGTCTTAACTAAGTATTTTTGTATTGAAAGTGTAATCTTGTTATTGAGTTGTTTTTGATACAGTCACTGGGATTGGGACTGTTAGATATCACTGAGATGATTAGGAAGTGAGATGGGGTTTCTCATGTTTAGATGGTGATTTCTAGGTAGAATTTACACTGGGTAGGGATTAAGTGAGGAGTTGTAAACTGGGTTTGTTTAGCTTTAAATTGATACTACTGATAGTGGATTTCCTTTCTGGCTTGGTAGCCCCTAGAGTAGGTGATGTTGCACCAAACTGGGTTAACAACTCTATGTGTTATTTATCATTCTGTAATTTAATTTCAGTATCAGTTGCATCTTGATAAATCTGTCCTGTTGTAATACCACAAATTTGTCCTACTCTTTCACTTTATTTGGCTTATGCATTTTGCACTTCTCACCTCATATACATACCTTTCATTAGGTCATCTAATATTACATGCATCATTAATCAATTAACTTGGCATAGGGATAAAATATATTGAGGAACTAGGGTTTCTCTATGCTTAAGGCTTTCACTTCACTCAGGCTTGAATTATCTGGTTCCTTCATCAATCATGGTTTGTGGAACTAGGGATTTTTTGTTCACAATCACTAAGAACTTATTTCTCATCAAGCTACAAGGTTCTCTTCACCAAGGGTGAAATCTTCAGGGTTTTATCAAGAGTTTTTTTTTTAGGTTGCTTTGAACAAAGCTTTTGGTCCTCTTAAATATCTCAATATCATTTTCTTCATCAAATTACATCTCAAGGGGAACTATGTTTATATCTCACTATAATTGAGTTTGTTAATTGAGGTTCATCAGAGGTGTGCTGCTATAACCTAAATATTATCTTCAAAGTCAAGGCCTTACTGTTATGATGGATTGGATGCAAGGCATGACACAAGAGACGAGGTTGTGGATTCATATTGTGATCAAGACAATTTTGTTGCTTCGATTGCAAGTTATCTTAGATTATGGGAATGAAATCTAGGGTTTCATTGAGAAGTGAAGGCCGGATTTGGATGCATTAATACTTTAAAGTCTAGTTGATTAAATTTAGCAAAATCTACTTAAGGCTTGCAAAGGTGGAAAGAAATGTAGTGAAAAAGACTTGGAATTTCAAATACAAATTTGGAAGAATAAGTATGCTTTAGAGATATCATTAAACTTTAAAAGTCAAGTTACAAGAAAAGTGGAAGTGATCTATTCATGGTGCAAGCCACAAATAGATAGGCAAATTCATTCATTCATTTACCGCTTAATTCATTCAAGATTTGAAGTCGAGCATTACCTTCCATCAAAATCAGATTACTTCAAGTGTTACAAACCATCGACAATTTCATCATACAAGCCAAGTACATCACCTATTCTATCACAACATCACCATCACAAAGTTTCCAAAAGTCATGGCCATTTACACCATAAATCATTACATCATTTCAAGTATTTTCCAAGGTTACATTCCTATCATACTTCAATACATCAAAAAAATTACAAGAAAGCATTAAATCTAAACCTAATTGCCTAAGTCTTCCATCTATATTACCAAGCTTCATCTTCAATCTTATTCAAGCCACGACCCTAGTTCAACCTTACTTCATCCATTATCTTCATTGCAAACTTCATGTCCATGCCTTCTTCTTCGTGTTATGCCTCTTTAAACTCTTTGCCGACTTCACTCATCTATACCTTCAAAACTGCTCCAATTTTCCTTGGTACCAACTTGTACAACCAATGCCATAACTTTCTCATTCACCTATACAGACCAAGCACCAATACATACATACTGTTTACAAGCCTGCAGACCATTCAAAATCTATAACAAACAGCCATGCATCCGCATAAATTGACACTATATCCACAAATCAGTCCTTGTACTAACTAATAGCCCTACATTAGTTCAAAGAAAAAATCAGAAGATATACCAGCAGTTGATAGTTACATGAGGCAATTCTGAATTGAAAATAAGCCGCAACCCTATTCATGATAGAAAATATCAAATCAGAAAGTCAGGTAAGCACAAACGAATAATAATACTGGACCAGAAATTGAATCAGAATAAAAACCGTGAAAACATAAAAATATTTAGATAGTATTTCATAACAAACTCTAAACATTCCCTAAACAATTCCTCACTATCCTAATTGTTTCATAACAACTTCCAAACAAAATTTCTAGCCCTTTAACTGATTCAGTTCCTAACCCCTAACTATTTTCTCTAACAGATAACCTTCCTAACTAACAACTAACCGCTAAAAGAAACTAACTGTCAGAACATATCCAATTAACTCTAATAACCCCTAACTGAATTCCGACTAAACCTCTTAGCTGCCTCCAATAATAAACGTCTAGTATAACAAATTAAAAATTAAAAAAGGGAAAGAGAAGGATTGACGATCCAAACCCAAAAAAAGGAACAAAAAAATCATACAGTGAAAACTCACCAGAAAAAGCTCTATTCCATTCTCTCTCTGCACTTCACAAAACTTAGAACTCTTCTCCTCTTATCTTCATCTTCAATCTTACTTTGCAAATCTCGAGAACGATTCATTCTCCAAAATTCAGAGAATCACCAATTTCTTCTCCTCTAAGATTTCCTCTAGAACCTCTCGACGCTCTCTCTTTCATCCTCACACCACTGCAAGCTTCACAAATTTTCCAAAACTTCATTTGCAGTAAACACTATTCACGCATCATCTTCATCATTAACATTCAGTAAATTCAATCCGCAACAGAAAACCAGATCAACAACTTGCCTTCCTTTCCTTGTATCATAGCCTCGTCATCATGATTCAGCGCTGATACAATGCATCACACTTGTGTCTTCAACTTTCTTCTTTGCATCACCATCAACGCTCAATCAACATCACAAATCAACAACAACTGAAAAAAGGCAAGCGCAAAAGAATCACAAAAAAAAGAGAAATCAGGTAATCAAGAAGGCACAAGGTCAAGTTTATTACCTAGAATTCGCATCGGTATCTCGTCGCTTTCTTCGTTGGATAAGAACCATTGGAGTTCTCTAGTAGGTAAGCCGATCATCTTCTCAATCTCTTTATCCTTTTCGTTCTTTTTGCAAAAACGAGAAACTGAAGTGAGAATGTGATGAAATCATGATGAAGAGATAAGAGAAGATGATACACGGTGGTATTGGAGCGAAGATGGAGAGGAAAAGGATGTTCACGGTGGCGTCATGTCGGGTATGAGGTGGAAAAGTAAATCAGGCGAGTCTGAACGGAGTGAGGTGGAGGAGAATCATCAGAGAATGGAGGTTGAGCCACCGCGATTTGAACGAAGAAGGAGAAGATTTCATCGCCGCTGCGGTTGAGATATAAGAGAGGGAAGAGAGATTTTGACGAAGAAGATGAATGGTCATTATTCTTGAACCCTAATCCCTTTCTTTTACAATTAATTTTTTTAATTTTTTTCTCAATTCAATAATAAAAATGAAATGGACTGTTGAAATCTGATGGATCAAAGGCCTGAATTGAACTCCTTTCCTAAGTCCATCTGTAATACCCCAAATTTGTACTATCCTCTCACTTTTATCTGGCTTATGCATCTCACACTTTCCTCATGTAGATAATTTCTGTTAAGTCATTTTGCACGTCATACATCATTGGTCAATAATTTGACACGGGATTGAGGATATTGAGGAGTTAGGGTTTCTTTGTGCCTTTAGGCTCTCATCCTCATGCAAGCTTGAATCAACATGGTTCTTCATCAATCAGGATTTGAGGGATTAGAGTTTGTGTTTATGGTCATTGGGAATTTCCTCTTTTATCAAGATACTCATTTTCATCAAATACAAAGCCTACTTTTCATGTTAATTCAGTAAGAAAACAGATTAGGGTTGCAAGTTATTAGGGTTTACATTTCATCATGGTTGAGTTTGCTAAATTAAATTGAAGATTCATTGTGCTCCAGAAATTTTTCTTTCTAAATACTTGTTGCTTGACGTACAAGTTTAGTATGAATTAGAAGATGAAAATGAGTTAAGGATTCATTGAAGAGGCAAGTTGATTTTGTGTAAGAATTAAATTTTAAAGGGGTTATGGCATTACTTGGATTGCAAGATATTATGCAAAGGAGGGAATAAGACTGAATCAATTTGCTATGGATAAAGAATTTACTTATAAGGGATTCATACATTTGAATTAGGGTTCTCTTACTGGTGGCTCAAGGTATAGTTGTGGGCCTAATACACCATGTCACTCGGGGCCGATGTTTCCTCATTGATTATAAAGGTCTCTATTTCAAGTTCAAGCAAGGTTACTTATATTGCTATACATGTGTTTACTGTGGAAAATGGTAAACAACCACTGGTCCTCCCAAAGTCCTAAAACTAAGGGTAACTCGCAAGATCGACCAGTTGATCTTAAGACATGTGCTAAGAGTTTTAATATTATACTTATTCTATCGAAATATTTATCAAGGGAAATGGTTTTCTGTGACTAAGGGAATAAGTATAACGGATTTCCACACTATAAATTGATCGATTGACTGGTGACTCGTGACCGACAAAAGGTATTCATATGAAAATAAGATTCAATAAACTAACTGAATAGCGAATCATGACCGACAGAGAGAATTAAATTGTTTACGTGAAGTAGAAAATAACATAAAGACTTTGTTCGCCAGTACATAGAAAGCAAATAAAGTATTCAAAAGAGATAATTGAAAAATAAAGGATTTTCATTGAAATAAAAGTGGTGATTCACGTACATCAAGCACTTCTTCACTCTTTATTTCCTAACGCTCGGAATGACAGAGTTTTGACAAGTGATTTGAGCATACAAGTGAACACACCAAAAGACTACACTAAATATGCTTATTTATAATATTTACAATGTAACTTCCTAGATGAAATCTACAGACAATATTAAAAGCTTGAGACAACCGCTTCACTGGGTGTCGCCACCTAGTTGGCGCTTAAACAAATTGTAAACCGCTGGCAACTGCTGATGATTTTGAAATTTAAATCTTCCCTCTCCTAGCTTCTAAAAGTAAACTGCTTCTGACTCGCTTCAAAACTTTCCCTTTGGCAAGATTTAAAAATCAACAACAATTCCTCTAAGTCCAGAAACCCTTTTGGTTGACAAAAACCAATTTCGACCATTTTCCTTGTCTTTCACCCTTTGGTCGACTAAACAAATTTCGACCATTTCTTAACATATATTCTTTTATTTCCTTTTGATCTACCTGCCTCAGTTTCGATATTTTGGCGTGACATTCCCTTTAAACATTAAATCTAGTTTAATAAAACCAAATTTTCAAACACTTTGGCTCTAATTTCCCAAAAAACCCTACTTTAGAGGATGACCCTTAGCTTATGAGAATATCCTCATTTAATACATGTGCCTGAATACCTTAAGATTTTTCAAGGTAACAAAATTCCCCCCAGAGATGCCATTTTTGAATTTTGACTCATATGAGATAATGGTATCTTTGAAGTGTCGATTTTACCATTTGACCAAACTGTTTCCATCCCTCCAAAAGTGAATGTTACAGTTAAATTAGCCATTGTGAAAGAGAATTTGGATATGGTGGTACAAGCCACTGAAGAAATCAATGATTTATTAGCAATGATTGGAAAGAAAAAACAGGAACTGGGTCCCAACAAGAAAAGAGCTACTGAAATACGTGACCAGATTCCTGCTCTCAACAAGGAATTAGAATTGATTTCCAAGTAAGAGGAAGAGATTAATAACGTTATTAATCCAGCTCAAGAAAATGCTGACCAAATAGCCGTGGATGCTGTGGCTGTAAGTGAAGCAATTTCTTCTGTCGAAACGAAGCTTGAAACACTTAGGACTCAAGCAGAAGATTTTGAATATCAGGCCGCAAACCTCTTTGGTGAACTGCGGTCATTCCAAAATTGATTTAAACACTTTTAATCATTGTATCAACGATCTTGTGATTTCTTTATGGCTTTAAGCCAAATTTTAATGGAATCTTTCTTTATCTATCTTATATATATCTTCCTCTATTGTACATATTTTATGCATGTTTTGAATTTGCTAGTTTCGAACACAATTTTACCAGCTTGTTGATTCGACGAATACTCATTCTGTCGAAATTATGACTTCTTGAAGAATGGGATTATACTTTTTTAAGTACTTACCATTTAATCTTAAGATATGTCGATCTGGGGCTAACTCCTCAAGTTCATAGGCATTATTTGAAAAAACTTGCATCACCTTAAAAGGCCCTTCCTAATTTGGGGACCATTTCCCTAAGACTCTATCATTTTTGTCCATAGGTAATATTACTTTCCATACTAAATCATCGACAGCAAATTGTGATACGGTGGCAGAACCGAGTGTTAATACTGGTTTGCGTTTTTTGTTTGCAAATGTCGCGGTAAGTAAGAGTCGCCACCGACTTTTCTTTTATCCAACAAGGAAAGGGTGAAAAGAACAGAAAAGACATTTTTTTGAGATTTCTGAGTACGGGGGGTAGATTATGGAAAGGGAAGGTGTTATCACCCTTTCCATCCATGGTTTTCCACAGGCTCTTAGGTACTTGCTCATTTTCTAAAATTGCTTGTGTTTGTGTGTTTTGAAAAGCTTTGAAAATGCCTTAGTGTGACGATTCACTTTATGGTAACTCTTGTATCAGTCCTCAAGAGTGTGATAAAGCATTTTAAAAACTTTTATTTGAAAAGTATGTTTGAAAGTGTGGTGTAAAATTTATTTGAGAAATTACCTAACAGTTATCTACCTACTCGAAAAAAGATTGTATTTCTCCTCCTTTCCTTTAGATCCTGTTATCCTACTATTAGTGAGTAGGTAACCCTAGTCGTTGAATGTATTAGGGACT